TTTTTTTTTTTTTTTTTTTTTTTTTTGGTACCAGGGATCAAACTCAGGACCTTGCACTTGCCAGGCAAGCACTTACTCAACTGAGCTATCTCCCCGGCCCATGATTGATCTTACAAGTTACTCTGGTTAACCAAAATCCTTTAAGAATGAATTATTTTATAAATTGCATTATCTAATCAATAGACCAATAGATGTTGTTGATCCCCTTTACGAACTGAGCCTAGCAAGTCATGGATTGCACCTGTAATTTCAGCACTCAGGAGACTGAGGCAGGAGGTTTGCAGTGAGTTTGAGGCTATCTTGAGCCACACAATGAGTTCAAGTCCAGCCTGAACTACGTAGCATGACCATGTCTCGAAAAAAATTTTTAAGAAACAACTAAATAAAAAATTAGAGTGTTCTTCATCTTTTTAGATCAGGTGTTTAGACTTAGTTTGGATTTTTATTTTATTAAGTTGATAAATGTTTCACAGGAATGTTGATATCTCTCTTTGAGGCCTGAGTGTTTCTTGAAAGTTACGATTACTGAAGTTTTAGTGAGTTAAACTTGTATTATATATGAAAATCTATATGTAAAAAACATTATAGTTATCTTTTGTTTTATAAAAGATTTGTCACCTCCTCCCTATAAATAATGTGTCTTGGTAAGCTATAGAGTATGTTATTTGCATAAGTCGTTTGTGGAACATATGTACTGCCTACAGCTAGCATCTGTGTGAAGGTTTAAATCCTGCTAAGCAGTTCCTGAATACCTCAAGTTTGTTTTTCAAGTTTGGGGTTTTCTTCACATGTCACTAAACTCTGAACCAGGCTGTCCCTCTTGCTTCCTGAGGCTGCCATATTCCTCACTTATGTAAGAGTTTGTCAGTCTTTGGCCTTGAAGTGCTTTCTTTTCACAAAAATATCTTCACAGTTGTTATCATTCCATTTGAAAATGCATGTTAGATACTGTATTATTTCTCTATGCAGCAGAAGAAGTTACTGCAAATTTAGCAACTTAGATGAACCCTGACTTTTTGTTTCTCTGCTTCTAGGGTTGGGGCTGGCATTGGCAGTCCTCTGCTGGTTCTCAGACTGTATTCAGTCCATAGCAGTTCCATAGCTGTGGGATGAGGGCCTCAGCTCAAAGAGGTTGCTACAGTCCCAGTGGTATTGAGGGTTCAGTGGTGTACCTTCTGTGGCTCCTGAAGCCCATGAGAAAGTCCCTTCCAGTTGGCCAAGACAGGACCCGTCAAAGGAGTGATAGACATCCGCCTGTCCCTCAGGCCGGTGTTGGAAGAGTCACAGTCTCTTTCACTCATCATGGCTCCTGGCACCAGGAGCCCACCACAAGTGATAGCCACACATCATTCCACCCCCGTGCAGTGCAGGCAGTGTTCTTTCTATGTGTGAAATACATAATATCCTACTGGTCAAGACAAAAATCAACCTAGTAAAAGAGAAAAAGAAAAGTACATACAGTATATTTGGAACTTACTGGAATTATAGCCTGGGGCACCCACAATTTAAGCAGTTGTGAAAAATGTATTACAGGGTTTTACAAGAGGTAGCAATAATCGTAGCTTAAGGTACAAGGGAAAGAAACTACATGAAAGAAATGTTTGAGTGGCATGGTCCGTGTGTTGGGAATTGCCTGGTGTGGCACAAATCAAACTTAAGAAAGGAACAGGGCAGCCTCAGGAAGCAAGGACAATCTGGTTTACAGAGTTAGTATGTGCTTACAGTGTCACAGTTTAAAGATACATAAGCTGAAGACTACAAGATTCTGTACAGCTCTTTCTGTTCTTTTGGGGGTCACTAGGAAACTTTAATTCTGATGTAGCCATTTAATGCTTTTAGTTATATTATCAAAATGACCATAGTGTATGTCCTTTGACCAAGGACAAAAATTCATTTATGTTAATTCCAAGTAATTTTAGGTAATAGGATTTCCAGGAGACACTTGTTCCTTAGAGTTCATGTGAGTGGTAGCTTTCTAAAGAAGGTCCTATGTCCTTTCACCTGTGACAACTGATATAAAGCAGCTAATTCATGTGTTTCTCACATTCCCCCATTGCTGATCTCAGCCTTCCATGCCTGAATGAGACTCTGTCCCCAAGTCTATTAGAGTCCCTCTGTAATATGGTAATGGGAAGGTAGGAAAGGAAACTGAACTGCAGGCTAAAATGAAGCCGAGATGGCTGGGGGAGCTCCCAGCTGAAGGGCTCTTTCCTCCAGCTCTTCTGCTTTCAAGTTTTGTCTTTCCCACCTCATCTTTCTACTTTTTCCTTCCCCACTCTTTCTCTAAGCCATGTTACCTCACTTACCCAAGTCGAAAGCTTAATGAAGTTAATTCTCCCTAATCCTGCCTTTTACAACTGGTTGATGGAAACACTGTTTCATGTATTGACAAGATACAGTAGCACTTCATGTTGCCAGGGCTATAGGGAGAAAGGACTCTTCTCCACTGTTGGTGGACGTACAGACTGGTGCCACCACTGTGGCAGTCCGTGTAGATTCCTCAGAAAACCAGGTCCCATTTGATGCACTTATTCCTAGAAAACTTAAAAACATACCACAGCAATATATGTACACCCACATTTATAGCAGCACAGTTTGTCATATCTGAATCTCATCAATGCTCATGAACTGAGGAATGGATACAGAAGATGTATTTTTATGCAATGGAGTATTACTCAGCTATAAAGAAGGATGAACTTTGAGTCTTTTAGTAAATGGATGCAACTAGAGACCATACTCATAAGTGAAATAAATCAGACTTGCATGTGTAAACAGTATTGTCTCCTTAGTGTAAGAAGTTGAAAAAGTAAATAAGATAGGAAAGGTACAATAGATATTTTGAAAGAGAAAGAAACTGCTCAAAAGGAAAGAATGATTGGGTGGGGGAAAAGAGAAAAGGTGAACAGAAAAAGATTGATGAGATAATTGTACTATTCATTTCTATCAGTTTATTGAAAGGAACAGTTAGTGCTTATATTGCTTGATCAATTTTACATGCTTATATCTGGTAATCTGAACAATTACTTTGAAGATAATATGCAATATCATGACCATTGTTAATTTCCTATCTTGTTTTGAAATTCTGTATGATTTTTATTGTTTTTTATTTTCTTTAAGTTAAGAAAAATGATACAGTAGCATTTCATTGATGGGTATTTGCCCTTTGTTTAATAGAGATTTCAGGACTTCATTGGGCATAAATTAAGTTTTGTTTACTTTGTTTACATACTTCTACATTTCTCCTTGATATTTAAAAAAATTATCCTTGGTGTCTTTTAAATAAAGCAGGCAGTTCATTACAGGTGGCATTTTTTTTTCAAAAGATGCAATTAGGGCAGTGGATATAGCTGAGTGGAATAAGCCCTGCCTGGCAAGCGCAAAGCCCCAAGTTTGATCCCCGGTACCTCCCCCACTCATCCCCCCCAAAAAAAGATACAATTAGTTTCTGTGAAAGCCTTGGAAAGATAGGGTCTGTTCCTAAACAGATACTTCTGTGTGAGTCAAATGTAGAGAAAGAGCAGACATAAGCACAAGTAGGACAAGGTCACATTTGGTGTGTACCTGCAGTTTTGATTTGGCTATACAAAGTATTTCTCTGACTCTTCAGCCAGCAGGCAGAATTCGTACACACTTGGGTCAGCCTTCTGCTGTACATGAGGGCTGGTAAGATGTTTGATACCATTTTGAATTGGGGTGTGCTGCAACTTCCACAAAGAAGTTTCCTTGGAGACACTTCAGTGGCTGTGCCTGTTGCTGTCTCAGGGCCCTCATGGCTGTCTCACCTGTGGCATAGGACAGCTTGAGTCGTGAGTCCCAGAGGGATGTGGCGCACACCCCCCCCCATAGGAGCCAGGTCTCTGATGAACAGGACTCTACCCATGTGATCCGACCAACAAATAAAATATACCTCCCTCCACTGGTGGACAGCTAAACTCATCCTCTCTGCTTTGTACATTTTATTTTCTGCACCTTCTACACCACACCATTGGGGGCTGAGGATATAGCTCAGTGGCACAGTGCCTGCCTTGCAAGTGCAAGGTCCTGAGTTTGATTCCCCTATACAAAGCAAAACAAACAAACAGATATACCACACCATTTCTGTGTAGTACAGGAGAGGTGATGAAAGCTTGAGTGACTGGGGCCAGAATGTCAAAGTTAAGTCTTGGTTAAACCCACACTCTATGCACAGGGGACTCTCCTACCTCCATACTGGAGCCATGACACCCATGTTTCCTGGATGCTGGAGCTCTGGGAGGCCCTCTGGCAGTGTCAGACCAGGGTACAGTTCTCAGAAATTACCAGCCTGCTGGCTACCTGTTCTCCCTCATCTGTTATACATTCTGTTTCCCTGTCTTCCTCCTTGCTCTTCTCTGCCCTGTCCTGGGTATCAGAAGTATCAGAGCCTGCCTTCCTCTCTGTCATTTTTACACATCCCAAATGTGAGATAAGTTGGAGAGAAAGCAAGTGAGCAGACGGACAAGAGGGTCATTGCTGCAGCACATCTGCACCCCAAACTCCAAGATTAAAGATCCTTGCTGTTCCTAGGAAACTATGCTCTTCTCATGGTCATGGAGCTCAATGATCCAGAGGATTTTTAGATAAACACCCTGTTAGATGAAATCCATCACTACGGTGCACTGAAGGAATGTAAACCTATGACCAGGAAGCTGTCATCCTTATTCCTCAGGGACTGTGGCTGCAAGTGTGCTGCACTTGGCACATGTGTAGTCATCTGCTTTCATGTAAAGCCTGGCTTCATTTCAGATCCCAGCATTCCAGTAGTAACCAAAACTACACATCTGGCCCATAGAGTGGCAGTGACAGCCCCTTTGTTTGGGGACAGTTGGACACTGCTGCCATCTTCCTAGAAGGGCTGGGTCACATAGATCCTCCACAAAGTTGGAATCTTGGTAAGCACAAGGGCCTGAGTTCAATCCCTGGTTCCGCAAAAAAAAAAAAAAAAAAAGTTGGAATCCCACTGACTGTTGACTATTTGTCAGGTTGATGACATCCTTGGAGAAGGCAGTGATGACAGCGACAGCGAGAAGAAGAAGCCAGAAGAACAGAATGATGATCAGGAAAGGGGACCTCGGCCCAGAAAGCCCAAAGCATCAGGGGCCCACAGGGAACAACCTCTTGGGTCATCCTCATCCAGCGAAAGGAGTGCTACAGGCATCCGCAGTGCCAGGTGAGCGAGGGAGGGCCTGGCCTACATACTGCCGGTGCGGTGCCAGGCACTGTCCAATGTGTTATTACCATAATCTGTATTTTGTTATGGATAATAATATGTCATGTGTGTCCTTGTCACAAGCAACACAGGTGAGGAAAAATTTGAGTGAAGGTCCCTTGTCTATCTGAGTCTGTTTCATGGAATTTCTGTTATACTGTATTGGTTTCTATCAGGTGGTGGTGAGGGGATATATTGTAAAGTAAGTATACATTTTTTTAAAATTTTGTTTATCAAATGAATATATAATTTGATACAAAACACAAAAGTATTACAATGCTTAGAATGAAAACAGGCACAAACACTGAAACTGTTACCCTAGTTGCTTCACTCTTAGTGTGAAAGAGAAAGATAATGCTCCAGCCAATGTAATCCTTCCAAAGTATGGTTTGTAGAGTTATACAGTGTTTATTAAAAATGTAAATTCTTTGGGTTGGGGAGATAGCCTGGTGGCCTAAGCACCTGCCTGGCAAGCACAAGGACCTGAGTTCAATTTCTGGTACCACATGTCGTACTGACCTTAGAACCCTGGGTACAACCATGCCAACCCCAAAACCAGGCATGATGGCATGTGCCTATAATCCTAGCCTTGGGGAGGCTGAGACAGGAGGATCACAGTCTGAACTGCGTAGTGAGACCCTGTACCAAATAAAAATAAATAAATGTAGATTCTTTTACTAAATTTAGTAAGCAACTGTGTTTGTACTTCCTTTCTTACACTTCTTTTTGCCTTACCTAGATTTGGTATGTTTCATCTTCTCATTTATTCAGCATTATTCCTTTCTATGTTTCTCTAAGGAGAGAAGTCCCTTCCTTTGTGAGTCTTACACTCGCTCTGCCCTGGAAATAGCCTTTCCTGTTTTTCTTTTATGTGCTCTATTCCCTTTGTGGTTCATCTTTCAGAAGCCCCTGATTGTCTGTTACTTTCTTGCTAGGACAAAATACCCAACATCCAGAATTAAAGGAAGAAAGTTATTTCAGTCATAGTTTGTAGAGGTTTCAGTCCATTGTCACCTAGCTCCAAGACAGGCAGGATGGCAGAGAGCTCTCACTGAAATAGTCTATGGTGGACAGACAAAGGAACAAGGTACCCTTTCCCTTTTATTCTATCATAGCTATCAGCCTTTTAGATGGCGCCATCCACGCCGAGTGGGCCTTTCCATTGTCCCTAACCAGAACTACACTAAACCAGAGAACTAATTGAGTACCACACACCTTTCATCACATACCTTAGATCCAACTAGCTTTGAAAAGCCCTACCTCCGAACATATGAGGCTTTAGAGGGACATCCACCCACAGCCAGCGTGGGGCTTCAGTTAACCACACTCAGAACTATGCTAAACCTATTTAGTTATCATAACCTAGATCCAGCCACCTCTGAAAAAGCCCCATCTATATGAGCATGAGGCTTTGAGGGGACATGCAGATAATAAGCCATAACTCTGATGAAGTTTGTCTGGGAAGCAGAAGACCATGTTGGGAGATACCTTGGTGCTGGTTTGTGTGTGCCTTGTGGGTGTGATGTGGATCTCATATGAGGGACCCCTTTCTCTGAGCCCTTGTCATCTGGCATATAGTGCTGTTTTCAAGGTCTGTCCTTTCTCAGAGGGTCTTGGAATCTTTATCTTATCTTTGGTGTTGTGAAATGTTTGTGTTCTGATCAAAATGTATGGCTGATCATACTGCTCAGTCTGTTTTCTGTTTCCTCCATCTGATCTGAGGAAGCATTCATCTCAGCACAGTCTGGTTGGACCTCAGTTAACTAAAAGCACATCCAGGTTCATATACCAACTGTCTGGTTTAGAAGCTGATGTTGTGCACCTTCTCTTGCCCACTTACGTGACGTAGAGGTCCCAAGTTGTCCTCTGAGGCACAGGAATGAGAGTAGCATTAGCAAGTGTACAAAACATCAAAGGAAGCACAGTACAGTGCCCACCACAAAGCAAGATACACCAGTTAGCACCACAGTTGATATGTTTCCTGTGTGACTTTTTCTTTATCTGTTGAATCAGTTTATTCTGTCTGGCCAGGGTTTTAGGCAGTTCTGTAGGTGATAAACAACAGTTCAAAAAGAGTATGGCTGATTGAGGCAGCCCAATTTCATAACAAAATTTGCTCTGAAGTTACAGTGGCGAAGGGACAGAGCGCTGGCTAGTCATTGTTCCATTTGTAAGAATGTCTCAAGGTGAGCTGATTTGCAGCTCTGAGGTTTAGCAGGGAATTGAAATTTCTGTTCAGCAGTCCCTCTGTGCTCACCAGTTAGGAAGCAGCACTCCCCTTTTGTTGCCGTGCTGCATCGGGGGGACTTTTACTGCTGTGTAGGATCATTCCATATAGTGACACGTTCTCTTCAGCTCTGCTTTTCCTTTCTGGGCAGATGTGGGGCTTTTAGAAACTCTTAAAGTAAAGGGAACTGACTGCTTCTGTGCTCTGTGCACTGCTATGATGTGGTATATACTGCAGTAATTTGGGTGTGCCCTAGCTGTGAATTTCTTAACCTGCTCTTGTTTTTTTCAATCAGCTTACAAAGAAAAAGAAGAAACTAAAAAATATTTCCCACCAAGATCAGAGAGGGGCAGTGGACATGGGTTTGACCAGTGGAGACTGAGCACTGTAGAGGTCCTCAGGAGTCCAGGACAAGAGTGCACATCACTGCTCTGTCTCTGATTTTGTAAATTACCTCCTGCTACAGACTGAAAGTCATAGAAAAATGAGCATGATAACTTTCAAAAAGAACCTTGGCTTTGGTATGTTGAGATACTTGCTGAACTGAAAGAGGGCAGTTGTGAAGAGTTCACAGGGAGCAACAGATCAACAAGATTCTGGTTCCAGCTCTATCACCTGCTACTTGGGTCCTAGGCACATTGCACGACTGCTTTGTGTTTCATTTATAGTGAGAGAGCAGGTCCAGCTCCTTCTTCAGAAGTTGTACCTGGTTGTTGTATGTCTTAAGCAATAAATTATCTGACACAGGAGGCAGAGGCTTAGATAGAACTGGAGTGAATTTCTCAGGCCATCATGATTCCAGAGATCATGCATTTCCATTCACTGACTTCTCAGGCAAGGACAAGGGTCATTGCTGTAATTGCTGTTTTACTGAGTTGACATTGATGATTTTAGAAATTGAGACCAAATAAGCAAAGTGTGCTGTAGACTGGATGTGACTTTGTCACCGTCCTTTAGCTCCTTCTGTGCCTGAAGACCCCCAGTATCCATGGCAGTTTCTAGAAGGAGAGCCAACTCCACCAGCCTCACACCTGCCTACTTGCTGTTCCTTTGCTTATGTGCAACTCCCAGAAAGTTTTTGTGTTGAACAAAAACAACTTGGCCAACAGTAGGACCTGTGTGTGCAGCAGGAAAGGTGGCATGTACTTCAGATTATAACTGAGTCTACTGTCAGCTGCAGACTTTGCTTCCTTCCTCTGCCAGAGAAGTAGGGGAACATGGTTTTCTGGTTATATTCTATTCCCATTTAAATTTAGATCGTTATATTTCTGTTCCCAGTTCCATTATAGAATAGAACTAGACATACAGATTTTTTTGAAATTTTTCAAATGATGTTTTCATTTGAAACCAAGTAAAATCTATTTTGATGGAGTTTTTGTGTTTGTATGTAGAACATTTAGGTTTCATAATTCTCTCCCTTTGTGCAGTGACACCTTCCATACTGAGATGCAGGTTTGGTTTCTCATATGGTGTTCTGGTTGGCAGCACATCCTGCCAATTCTATTTGGCTAAGCTGTTTTACAAAATCTTAATACTATCAAACTTAAAACGATTTCTAACAGAAGGCAAAAGGTTATTTTTTACTTGTCTACCAAGAAGTGATTCATTCTTCTCTCAGATGGGCAGTATCAAATGCCTGCTGTGCATACCAGTTTGCTGGGCACTTTCATTCCTTAAGATAAAAAGTCAAGTACATACTTGAAAAGCATGTACTCAAACAGGAGTCCTTTAGAATATTTAGAATACCACATGAACACACAGTTGTCAGAACCACATCAATGATGAAAAGAACTGGAATTGCCACAAAAGTTTTCACATTCAGCTCATCTCATCAGGAGTTTTTCTGGGGCCGGAGAGATAGCTCAGTGGCTTAAGCGCATTGCTGGCAAGCCCAAGGTCCTGAATTTGATCTCCCAGTACCCCCCCCAAAACAAAGAGTTTTTCATATTGAGTTAGTATTTGAATCACAGCTGACAGAAAGCAGTTTTAAAATATAGCACAGATTCTTCCAAGATTGTTCCTAAGAGAAGTGAAAATGACAATATTTAACTACCAAAACAGCACAGTGTTGCTCATACCTGGTAACTTTTAAGCAAGAAAAGGTCAGGTGAGGGCATGTGTCTACTCAACAGCAATGGCACTTGAGCTTGTTCTATGGAGAATGCTTGTCTGGGCAGTGCTTCTTGGCCCCTTATTAAAGTGATAAATAAGAAATGATTGTCTCTTTTTAAAGGCTGAATGTCCTGACTCAAGTCCTATTGCCAGCATTCTGTTCAGATGGGTTTACAGCAGTCCTAGCGTGCATGTGTAGGCAGGACCCCCCCCCATAATGTTCCAAAGGTACTCAATTAAAAGTTGATTTTGGCATGGCTAATAACTATGATCAAGATGCTCTTCAGGAGAGAGAAAATATTCCAAGAAATAATGATTAAGAACTTCCCCAGTTTGATGGAAAACCTTGGTTTATATATCTCAGCAGCTCAACACACAACACAGAATAAGCACTGAAACCTCCATCTAGACACATTACAGTGAAAATGTGGGAAGCCAAAGATGAGAAGGCACCCAGGTAGCAGGTCAAGTGCTCAAGGAGAGGAGATCAGGCCTTCTGCATCCAGCACACTGCGTTTCCGCAGAGGCAAGACTGCCCCGTAAATAAAACTTGAGAAACCACTGCTAGCAGACCACCTTCCCAGAACACTGAGACATGACACATCTGAGTCCACAGATTAGCAGACAGGACTATGTAGGATTGTGTAAGACAGTAGTCACATACAATGTCTTTCTGTTCTTGATTGATTTGTAGTATAAAATGATACGTACATAATCATGTTGCTGGGCCCATAACCTCAGGGGAGAAGCAAGTAGGACTTTGAATATGAATGAGTGTTGGACTTTGTCAAAAGCCTTTTCTGCATCAATGGAGATGATCATGTGGTTTTCAGATGTGGCTTTATTGATACAGTGTATTACATTTATAGATTTTGAAATATTGAACCATCCTTGCATCCCTTGATCAACTTGTTGTGCCTATATCTTGTAATCTGAACAGCTACTTGGAAGGTAACAAGCAATGTACTAACCATTGTTACTCCTATCTTGGTTTGAAATTTTGTATCATTTTTATTGGTTTTTATCTTTAAAGTACAAAGGGGGGAGGGGACTCTCCATGACATTCCTTGAAAGGACGTTTTGAACTTACAGGAATGAGATACCGAGCCCAATAAAAGTGCTTTTAATAATTACCCATTTTGTCAATGTCAGTCATGTGGATGAGTCACGGCCATTGCTTGGCCAGTGTGCTCTCTATGAAAGTCTGGTTCTACAGTCTGTGGTTCAGGATCTCAGGATAAATCCCGAGGACATTTCACTGACCTTATCAGACCCAAAAGCTACAACTCTTGTTGCATAGGTCCTGCTTTACCTTGGTCTTAACCATCCAGCAGAAAAGTATAAAAACAAAGTATAAGAAGTAAAGCCATGCTGTTATGTTGAGATGTAGGGGACTCAGGTCAACAATTTCTGACATTGCCAGTTGAAACGGAAGACCCAATACTATTATGGACCTCTGAACTCTTTTAGAATATTTTGCTGAGTTTACACACCTATAATATTTAAATGATGGAACTTAACAAAAAAAGGGGATACAGATGAATGTCCATTTGGTATCTGTGTATTCAAAGTGGTTAGGATAGATATATAGTTATATTCTCTTAATGAATAGAGGGATTTGTTCTAATGGTGTTTGTAAATAGGATATCAAGTCCACATCTTGTACAGCAATTAACCACTAGGAAGAATGTATGCAATGTATTAATTATTGAAACTGTCCTACCAATTTGGTTTGAAACTGTCTCATTGTTATTTATGTCTCAATAAAATTGTGGAAAAAGAAATAAAATAAAATTAAGTTAAAAGAAAAAGGAAAAAAATAATAATTACCCATTTTAATGAGACCATGGGATTTTTACTGATATATGAAGCAGCAGCTCTTCCCCTAATTGAGTAGTTGATATCATGAGTAACTTGTCCAGTAAAGGTCCCCACAGTTGAGGAGGTCAGGCTCTGGACAGAAAGATCTGCCTTCTCCCACTTCACTAGGATGGCTACTCCCCTTTGTTTGGCTGTGGTGGAATGTCAAGGGGCTAACTGCCAGATCACTTCAAAGCTATGTAAGGGCTCTGGCTTTGGCTTCTCATGCTTCTAGAACACAAATGCAAAATTCCTGGAAATGCCCAGTTAGCTTGTTGTCTTGGCAGCACCTTTCTCATTCAGCTTGAAACCTTAGCATAGCCTTGCCCTGTGTTTAGGTAACTACAATTTGGTGCCCATAGTCCCTGTAGTTGGTGTCAGATGCAGGCCCTCCTTCATTTTCATTCACCATGATGATGTGAACCTGCTGTGCCTAGTTAATTTCTCACTGAAATTGCAAACAAAGATTATTGAGCTCTCCTTAGTGTATTTTGTTGCCCCTTAGCAGACCCATGCACACATGGCCAAAATCAGCCTTCAGAATGAAGCTGAACCCACACTCAGCTTGCTGGTGTGGTCTTTGTGCTAAACTACCAGTGCTGATTATGATCAGCAGCTTCAAAAGTACATGCTTTATAAATTTCTTGAAACTCATTGGATTAGAGGCTGATTTAAAACAATAGTCTGTGTTTACTTATTAAAATAATTTTGCATCTTTTTGAATATACACTTTAGGCACTTACTTATGTGTGGTAGTACAACAACAGTATGTTCAGAAAGCTCAAATATTAGGGAGAAGATTTACATGCATTATTCATATTCTTGCCTTATTCCAAAATTAAATCTGTTAATATTTCTTTATGGAACTGTGCAGCTGGTTGTAAAAACAAAATATAAATATTTCATGTTTTGCTAAGAGGAAATTAAGCCACTGTCAATTATAGACATTTATGACTATGGGTTGCAGCTGTTTCTAACTTTTTAGATAATTTTTTTCACTCATATTCCTTATTAAAATAGAACAGTAGTCCTACACTTTTTTTTTTTTTTTTTTTTTTTCTTCCAGGAACATTTCTTACCCCATCACCTTCCAAGGCATGTCACCGTATGCACACAATTTCAAATTGAATTCAAATTCAATTTTTGTCTGAAAATAGCTGTCTCAGGTATTTTTCTTGATGCTGAAATAAGATCCAAAGTTAAAGGGGGAGTGTTGTATGAAAGGAGAGGAGATTAGCACTCCCCTTGACAAGGATGGAAAAGGCGCTCGGGTCTGACAACACACATACTGGTTAAGGCATTGCCACTTACTTTGGGGCATCTAACCACTGTTTTTAGATCCGGACCTGGTGCTAAGGTAATAACTCTACCAAAAGCTCTACAGCAAAGGTCAGAACACAGTGCTATACAAAATGACTGAAAAAGAGCAAAAATGCATTCTCTGCCACCCAGAACAAATGCAAGAGACAGTAACAATTGGAAATCACACACCTGAAATCTCTAAAATAATGGTGTCTGAAGTAAAGCAACAGCTGCAGAAAGGTATAGAGGAAATCAGATCAGAAGTAATTTCTGAAGTAAAGAAATGATAGCTATAATGAAAAAGTACTAAGTGCTTCTGAAGAAGACACTGATTAAAAAATAGAGAATAGAAAAATGATGGGATCTTTGAATAAGCAATACAGGAAAGAAATGGAATGCATGAAGCAGATTCTAAGTGATATACAGGAAATTTAAACCTCAATCACAAGCTGGCAAAACCGTTTGAATGAAAGTGAAAATAAACTTTCACACCTTGAAAACACCATTGCAGCTAGTGAAAAGATAAAAGATCTCTTAAAAACAACTAAGATGTAGGAAAAAATAATTCAGCATCTTTAAGACAATGCAAAGATGAACAACGTGAGACTAGTAGGCATCAATGAGAAGGAAGGAGTCAGTACAAATGATATAAAAAGAATATGGGCAGAAGTAATAGCAGAAAACTTCCCAAATATGGGAAAACAATCTGACATTCAGGTAACTGAAGCATATAGAACTCCAAATAATATCAACCCAATTAAAACCACATTGAGACATATAATAATCAAGATCCCAGAAATTCAGCACAGGAACAGTATGCTAAAAGCTGCTAGATAAAAGAAACATCATATTTAAAGGAAAACCCATCAGAGTAACGGCAGATTTCTCTTCACAAACCATCAAGTCAAGAAGAACATGGAGCAAAGTACTTCAAGTCTTGCAAGAAAACAAATTAAAAAAAAAAAAAAGAAAAAGAAAACAAATTCCAGCCCAGATTTCTGTACCCTGCAAAACTTTCAAGTTTGATGGAGAAGTGAAATACTTCCATGACAAAGAACAACCAAAGAATTTCATGACAACAAAGCCTACCCAACACAGACTACTAAAAGATATTCTAGAGAGGGATCAGAATGACCACGACTCCATGAATGAGAATGGAAAGAACCCACCAAATAGGACAAACAATTAGACACAGGAGAAAAAGGGATATACAACAGCAGTTTTCAATTATTCTTTTGTATACAGCAGCAAAATATTTCCATCAGCATACTCTACAAATGGACTTCTGCACCCCATGGGTCATGATTCTGTCTAAGTCTACAGGGTGGATTTCAAGGAAATAGCAGTAGCTCAGTCCCACAAGTGACACCTGGCCACCAGTCAGTGTCATGGACACTGTCCACGTATACCACATACTGAAACTTTGTGTGATATCCTATCCCCAAACTGTTAGAAGTGCTGGTCATATATTTGCCATTCTAGTATTTTCGTTATGTTTAATTTTTAGTAATTCTTTCATGAAAACTTTTTCTTATTTGACATTTTTGTATATATTAATCTAATCAAATACTGTGTGAGTACTCTGAATTGATCACAGATTTGTACCTATGATACACTACATTCTGGCCTTTTAGTTGGACTCACAATTTAATTTTAATTTTTGAATATTATTTTG